CAACTACAAACCTAATTGCAAGACTATAAGCTAACTTCACGGCCTTTATCTTCTTCAAATGCTTTCTTTTTTGACTCCTTTGAGTCTGCGTGCCCGAGAAATTTTGATTTGTAATTTTGTTTTCCGCATAAAAAAGACCTACAAACCTAAATATCCACTTAGAAAAATGAACAATATTGAATATTGAGTCCAAGTATGCATGATCTCCTTTTCTGCATCCTTTGGCTCTTTTGATAACATGTTTTGATTGCTTTGCTTGCTTGGATTATGGCTAGCTGTGTATAGATCTACCTGCACTAGTGATGCCTCCCTTCAATTTCTTGTCTTCTTTTGGGCTCCGTCACTCGCTTCAATAATTCGGTGGATGTCACCTACCCTAGATATAACATGTGTGCTTATGAAAATAACCAAAATAAAAGTATATGATTAGAATTTAGAATTTAGAATTTCTCATAAACTAACCAATCAAAAATGAATCAAATGAGAAAATCATTTTTCTCACAGTGTATGGAATGAAGCACCAACCTAACAACTTTTGATATTGGAGTTCGTCACGTTTTTAATCAAAGCTATAATTATTTGGATTTCGTCACATTTTTAATCAAAGCTATAATTATTTGGAGTTCGTCACCCATGTCCAAATAATTAAAAATAAAATAATTTTAAAAAAAAAATTGAAACCAAGAGGTAAGAGCCCCACCCGACCACAATCCAAGATTTTTAAATTTTTTTTAATTGTTTGGACAGGTGTTCATTCGCAATTGGGCCACATGTTCATTTCAAGAAGAGTTAGCTATGCACCGGTTCACTATTTAATTATGGATGGGATATTATCACTGCCAAGTGGGTAATTTTACCCTCCCAATTTAACCATGTAAGTCTTCAAACCATAGATTAACCAAATAATTTGTATTAGAAAAAAGAAAAAAGAAATATTTTTGCTCACCACTTTAACTTTTTACTTTGTATTTATGGAAGAGTTTTTCTATTTAAACCCCGCATGTTGTATTCCTAAAAGGACACAAATTAATGTGCAAACAACCAATTAAAAATACCCGCAAGTGCACGAATCTATCGAAGTAAAGATTATGTAAGTACGGGGTCGATCCCACGAAGAACTTGTCGGCTTCCTATAAGTTCTAGTTTGAGTACGTAAAGAATACTAATTTAACACACCATAAATGCACAAATGCAAATTGGAAACTAAAAATGAGTAAAGAAATGTAAAAGAAATGAAACAACACAAGAAACCAAAGAAAAACAGAAACAGCACTTTCTATCACCCTTTTATCACCTATTTATCACCTGTGAACAGTACCGTGAACAGTGAAAATAAACAGTGCGACCGGTCGTGAACAGTGATTGGCGACCGGTCGTATGAACAGGGCGACCGGTCGTTTTAGTACAGAGTCGAAACTCTGTTTTTCAGTTTCGACCTCTGTCCAGTTTTTGACTTATAACTTTCCAACCGTACGTCCAAAATTCACGTTCTCTATACGGTTGGATTCAGCACAGAAAATGCAAGAACACAGCGCGGACCAAAGGTCCAAAACAATTATAGAAACAGATAAAATTTAGTAACAAAGACACATAACGTGTCAAACACGTAACTCACACACACATTGGGGGGGGTTTGATTTGTTTGAAGTGACCTATTTCTATTGCATGAAAGTAAATGGACCTTGAAATTAAATGAGAATGGCAGAGATGAATTATCAAAAAGTGGAATCAAAATGTAACAAACACTAGGGTTTCGGAATCCACCCTAAACAATTCTACCCAAGTTCATGAATACTCAAGTGATGAACAACGTATCAAACACACAACTCACACACACATTGGGGGGGGTTTTGGTTTGGTTCAAGCGACCTATTTCTATTGCATGAAAGTAAATGGACCTTGAAATTAAATGAGAATGGCAGAGATGAATTATCAAAAAGTGGAATCAAAATGTAACAAACACTAGGGTTTCGGAATCCACCCTAAACAATTCTACCCAAGTTCATGAATACTCAAGTGATGAA